AGGGTGAAGTCTTGAGAAGAGAAGACTGAGGGGGAAGCTGATGAGAGCCTGCCCGCTGGAGGCAGGGAGGGGGGGTTACAAAGAGGACGGGGTCCCCTGCCCGCTGGAGGCAGGACAAGCAGCAATGGGTTAATGTGCACAAGGGGGAGTTCGGTGCGACGCTGGCGAATCGTTCTAGGTCTCAGGGGAGCTCGGCTCTGGACCAGGCACCAAGGGAGGAGGTGGGATCCCCGTCACTGGAGGTGTTTAAGAACAGGCTGGACAAACCCCTGTCAGGGCTGGGCTAGGGTTACTCGGTCCTGCCCCAGTGCACAGGGCTGGCCGCGGTGATTGCTTGAGGTCCCTTCCAGGCAGGGGCAGGCACAGGGGGCAAGCAGGGGCACGGGCCCCCCAATAATCGTCAGGCACAGACCTCCTCCAGCCCCAGGGCCGCGGGGAGGAGAGCGAGCTCCTGCCGGAGCCGGGACAGCGGGACAGAGGAATCGTCCATGGCCTGTCCAGGCCCTCCCAGCTCTGTGCTGGGCCAGGTGCCCGCAGCTGGGGAGGCGGCGCTGGGGTGAGGGGGGCTCTCGCTCACTCACCAGCAGGACGGTGCCGGGGGGGCAGTAACAGCCAGCGTGGCAGGGCCTGTCAGCAGGGGGCTCCGTGCTCAGCTCCGCACAGGAGGCCGGTGCATCAGCACATTCCTGCCACAGCTTCCCCTCCGGGCAGACGCCGGGCACCTCGCCTGGGGACAGGGAGACAGTGGGACGCATGGGTAGAGCAGCACAGCAGGGACCCCACCGGGCCCTGGCACCCGGGTCTGCACTGCCTGAGGGGAGAGCGTCCCCTACTGCCCCCCTGCAGCCGCTGGTCCCTTGGTGCCCGCCACCGACTCCCTCTATCAGCCAGGTCCCTTGGTCCCCCCTTCAGCTGGTTTCCTTGAGACTTCCCCCCCCAGCCCTGCAGCAGCTGGTCCCCGTGGGAGGTCTCCCACCCCAGAACTAACCAGAGCCGCCCCACCCGCTTCCAGCCTGTCATCCTGTGCTGCGCTGGGTCATAAACTCTGTGGCCGTAAGGGGCTGTTATGAGCATCTAGTCGGACCCGGAGAGCACTGTGACGAAGTGGGAATTTTCTGTAATATTTTATATTAAGCCCACGTGTGCCTCAGTTTCCCCTATACTGTGCCCGGCTGCCTGGCAGGAGAAAAGGATGAAGTTTGCTCTCAGGACAGGCTAAGAGGTGGGGGCAGGGGGGTCACTGAGCAGGGAAGACCCAGCTCCAGAGCCAAGGGCTGGGAGGTGCGGGGATAAGGAGCTCGGAGCTCTCTCACCCGGGCGCTGAGCAAGAAAGGAGTTGGCAAGGGCCAGAGCCTGGCCATGGGGTCACAGCAGCTGGGCTGCCCAGACGGGCTCTGCTGTAACTGACCCCCCCCCCCCCGGGCCTAGCTCAGGGCCCCCCAGGCCGTGTGCCAGGCGACTGACAAACCCGGCAGCTGGGCCCGCGCTGGGTGAGGGTCACTGCAGGTCCTGGCTGGGCGCGTCGGTCCCTGCAGAGCGAACGAGGCTCCCCCAGAGCCCGGCTCTGTGGGACTCACTGGCAGAGCTCGAGGTGGGGAGCAGGAGTCGGTGACAAACCCAGGCCAGAGATCTTCCCCAAACAATTCCCAGGGCAGAGCTTTTACCCACCACCAAGAGCCCAGGCAGGGAGCAGGAGCAAGGGGTCACTCAGGCTCCGGCCTAGCTCCCGGGTGAC